TTTTATGAACTTTGATGAATATACATGCATGTATATTCCACGAACATTCATGTTAGGAATGTTCAACCATGTATATTCCCAGGATATTCCCGCAATTCTGTATATTTTTTGAACATTCTGGGATATTCATAGAATATCAAATGCTATCTGAGTATCAGACAGAATAAATCTGTGTTATTTTATGCAGGCCATTTGAATGGTCAGACGCAACAAGGATTGGGCAATTTCCCAAACCAAAACAACTCGCACGCAATTACATCGTCCAGTGCTGATGATTTGAGGTACCACGGTACTGAGCTGGTAATGTTGTACGATTACAAGGCGCAGGCACCAGATGATCTCACAGTGAGGCGAGGAGACTGGATCTATGCTGATCTGAACAATCAAACTGTTGATGGGTGGTTGTGGGCGTATGCGCCCAAGACTCGCAAATATGGGTTTATTCCCAAGGCCTACGCAAGGCCTCCAGCTATGACTAGTTTGTAATGGAAACCTTGTACTAACAAGGCCGTTATTCGCTCATAGGGAGCAATAGCTTTAATTTTAACTGTTTAAGATAATTTGATTAGTGATGTGTAGGCGCTTGATTAGCCACGTTTTGAACAAGCAAACGCTCAGATACAATTGCGAAATGGATGATTATTTTTTTATCGAATCCCAAACCATGTGGGTAGGATTGAATACTATTTTCTAAAACACAGAACAGATCAATAAATCATCCCAACTAATTAACCCAAAACAACTTATGGACCGTGGCAGTTAAGCGATTATACACTCTACTAGATCATTTTCGCCATGTCACAAATCGCATTCGAAAGCCTATTTTAATTGCCATGCTCAACGCTGCTCATATATGCTTAGGTAGTAAATTGCAATAATACTTTAGCAAGTACCTACGTGTTAAGCCTAATATTAGTTAATACATTACAATTTTGATAGGGAATAACTATTTGATTGTATGGAAACTAATGAGCATCCAGTTTATTTATTTTGAACATACAAAAATCAGAGATTTAGTTCACTTGCTGTATATAAAAATTAAACTTAAATTTCCTATCAAGCTAAAAGTGTTTTATTTGTGAAGATAAGATGCAGTGCGATTTTTAAATTTATGTCGTTCCTGTGTTCAAAATTATCGCGTGCTCTATTCAACGGAAACTGCTAGTTATTTACTTGATTCTGACTTTATGTAAAAAAATGTAAATGCTTTTGTACCCATGCCAAATACTCCGCTTTGATATCTGAGAATTAAGCAATGAACAAAATAGTCCTCCGCATATTTGCAATAAAAATGTTTTGCCGAAGCCAAAAATTTATAAATAGATGTAGGCTAATAGGTTCATTTAATTGGAACAATTTTGCAAATTTTTTTGGCGTCTTTTTAGTAGATATTTCTACTTTAACATAAAATTGAAGACTTTGTCTCAAGGTTTTAATTGCATCAGAAAAAATAGGAAAATCAAGCAGATGTGTGATAGTTATCCATTAAATATAAAGATTTGAGTCACGGTCTTTTGCAACACAGCGATAAGAAATATAACTTTTCTTAAATTAGTAGTTATTGAATACTTCGTAGCGTTTCTCAGAATCACTAGCGAAAACGTGGCCGAAAAAAAAATCGAAAAAACACATCGCATTTTTTGTCAACGAAAAAATGATTTGCTGTTTACCAAAGTTCATTAGTTTGACTTAAAAATACATGTTTTCACACAGGAATAGATCAACTGAAAGCGAACAGCAGTAGTTTGAGAGAATATTGCAAAAATCCAAATTCATTATCAAGCTCATTGTTTACTTCCATTAATTTTCAGCAGAAATTTATATATTAATTAAAGAATTCGCGCCGTTAAAGTTTCATTTGTTAATCAAATTATTGATGGTTTGCAACCAGTTTGAAAACATTCACTCATATTTCGGAAAGTAGGCTTGAAATTATAAAAAGCTGCATGTTATGACATTTTAGTTAATTTTTCTTAAAATAAATATAATAAAAAATATAATCAAAATTTCACATGCGTGTTTTTCGAGCTTACTCGATTCCTGTCATTTATCAAGATTAAATTAAATTATAAAATGAATCAAAATCGAAAAAAGTGGAAAAATACAAGATGATGGCTATGAGATCAAGGCTATGTTTGTTCCTATATAAAATTAATATTTTTTTGCATACACAGTACAACTTTGTATTTGATGGTTCGGTTTTTGTACTTTTTCCCACTTTCGCCCGGTCTATAACACAGCTATCCATTAGCAACAGTTGGATGTTTTCGGGCATTGAAAACAAATTGAGAATATCCAGAAATCACGATAAAAATAGAATAGAGTGAGCTGTCGAAAAACCGTGCAAATTGCACGAACTCAAACACGATAGTGAACTGTAAGAGTGAGGAGCTGTGTGACTTTTGCACAAAATAAGGTAGGTCAACAATACATTTTAAAAAATAAATTTTTATACAAACATTACTTTTATCATCCAGCACTTGAACATATTAATATTATTATATACTTATATGTTATCGATTTATCTGTATTTGAAATTCCCATTTTTTCGTTGATTTCAAATAAAGTCTCTAGTGCGATTTTCAGCAAATTTAAAACAGCGAAAAAGGTATTTTCAAATGAAACTATGTCGATTTATTAACACCTTGATAAGCGGCAAAATCCTCAGATTGAAATATTCCCATTTTCAAACTTGTTACTTTAACCGTCTCTGATAAATCCTTCTGAAAAATCGTTGTTAATTTAAAAGAAGACTGTTTCTAACTTTAATTCATTTACTTCTCCGGTTGCTTGTTTATGAACCTGAAAATTGTTTTTAAACATATTTAATTTAAATTTAAAAGAAATGATGATTAACAGCAGATATGCGATGAAATGTCTTGTGACACAATTGAGAACATTTCTCGGACACGGCGTTCTAGAAAACGGGCGCCTTAAATTTATATATCAATTATTTATAGCCAATAAGTCAATTCGCTATAATCATCGCGTTAACCCATAAATAATTGTTCAAATTCTTGGCTTCCATTCAACATTGTCTCTCAAGTCAAATCAACTTAGATCACAACCAAATACGATTTCATTCGTTAAAGAAATTAGTTTTTATATTCAATTTATTTTTTTTTAATTATCCAAAGTAGATTATACAAATTTTTTGTCCGAAACTGTTTAACTAATTAATTAGAATAAAATATATACAATGTAGCCCAAAATGGGCAAAGTACAACTGAATTATCAAAAAATTTTAGAAGTGGTTAATTGCAAATAGTTGAAGAAAAAAAAAGAATCAGCCAGTTCGAACTAAAATTTAATTGAAAATAAAACTGTATTAAGTTACACTCGTAAACCTTCAATTTTAGTTAATTTAATTAAGCGATTCAATTATTTTTTACAACGATAAAATATCAACTGTTCCCAGTTTTTATTGATTTACTTACATGCAGAGTCTTTTCAACACGTCCAACAATTGGAACCACAAAGCACAATACTATTTTCTGGAATTAAATCTTAATTATCACCATTTTATATTATCCTGTTCTGAAAAATCAAATTATCTTTACAAACATTTCTAAAGCCTTACTTTCGCCAAATTGGCCAGCACACAGATGCTTGTATTAACTAAAATAATTTTTACAAGTCTTCTAAATATTATTTGTTCATGAAATCTTTTTGTCTTGTAGATTTGTAACGAAGCTTTATAGAACTACCGTTTATCTGACAAAATAGTGTGATTCTTAACAATGTGCAATAATTGGTAAAACCGCCCCATGTATTTATCCGATAGATGCAATCAGTGAAAAACACATTTTTCATCTCGTCCTTGTCCTATTTCCAAAATAAATAAAACTAATGAACTGCTTTTCAATCTCAGTTCACGCTTTCTAATATTTATAGCATTTATTCTATTTCTGCAGCGGGGTTTTTAAAATTAGCCTTTCACTGTTTTTACTGGATTTGCCAAAAGTTTTATGAATTACACCTACTTTTACACGATAAAAAATGTTGACTGTCACGTAGGCAATCACTTAGTCCCAATTAAAAAAAACGGTGATTAAAGCAAGCAGCTAAATAAAATGAACCAAACTGCAAAAGATCTCTTTGGTATAATATAGATACATTAGCAAATCGCAAATGCAATTTTACTGGACCAAATCCAAAATGATAAAAGATACACGTTGCACACCTCAATGAAAAACAGGAATTTCTCGAAAACAAGTTTATTTTGAAAAGTGAGCGCAAATTATCCTATTTATCGGCAAAGTTACACGAGCTTCATGCTTAGTACCGGATTATTTATGGATTGATACATTTATGTAAATAAAACTATTTTTATCACCGCTGAAATGTTTACGATTACTTTTCAGTTAAAAGCGTGTTATATTTAGAAAAAAAATTGTTTACATTTCAACTCATTTTTCGCTTTAGAATAGTTTCTGTAAACATTTTCTTTGTTCGATTTGTATATTAGGTAACGGAGGATTCTGGGTATGATTTCTGATCCATCAGAATAATAAATAAAAGCATTTTGTGAAAATGGTGCGATCTGTTTTCTCAATCGATTTGAGACACTTTTAATTCCAATTCTTGGGGAGCGGCTTTTTTTATTATAAATATAACGAAGCAAGAGTTTTTAAAGAAATAATACCAACGTTTTCGAGCGATTTAATTGGCAAATTTATGACTTACACTGTTTGCAGAAACAAGACAATGGCTGGCGCCCATAGTGAAGGAAAAAGTTTACTGACTACTTACTTGATCCTGATAGCTCTACTTCTAGTTCTATGGGCACTCTATGCAGGCATGTTCTAGAATAATGTAAGTAGGTATCGTCATACTTACAATTGCTGAGCGTTGAAGTTGTCTTCTGTAAGATAATCAACCAGGTTTAATGCAATGGAAATCCAGTCAAGTGTATACCTACTTGAGGTGAAGTAGCCTAGAAAATGAAGCCACATGTCTATTTTTACTAATCGTTTTGAATTATTACTCAAAAACAAGTCAATCTGTTTTCAAATATCACTCGACAGCTTGTTCGTTGCCAAAACACATTTTAGTATAAACCTCTAAAGTTGTGAAGTTGCTTGACAACTGGAATATTTAATTGGTACACAAAGACATAAATATTGCTTTCTGCTGTGCAGGTACGTTCCAATAGATGTTGATTTCTATCTCCAGAACATCCATCCGAAGCAAGATGAGCTCTGACGACCACAATCCAGCATCTTCATATTCAAAGTCACTTGCGCTGATCATCTTGATCATTGACCATTAAAATCGTTTGTATTTTTATAAGTGTACTGTCTTTGTTAGTTTAATAAAAAATTGTTATACCTATTAGTTAATTGTAAATAAATGTCCACTGTTTTGTTAATATTTGCAATGGGTTCTTATTCTCATATGACCGAAGAAAACCATTAAACTATAAGGAAAAGTCTTGTTGATAACATAATTAAAACGTATAGTCAAAACAGGGTTTTATTACAAAACAGTTAAACATAAACTGCAACCAATTAACTGACGTTACCTTATCACAGAAGATTATTCGTATTTTTCCTTAGCGACTTAAATTTTCTAGCGCGAATCCTTAAAAAAATTGTTTTGCACTACATAGTGAACGCACTGCAATATAACATTGCGTTCAAGTCGAATTTCCTTTTCCAGAAGTTTTTCCAACAAAGTCACCTTCCGCCGACTGAAGTTATTGTGTGGAAAGTTATCCGAACTTTGTCTGGTAATTCCTGTGGAAGTTGATGGCTCAGAAGGATTAGCATACGATCTACTTTTAAATGTCCTGGATCGTGCATGTAATCTTTTCCTGGGACGTCTATTTTCATTAACATGATCGGTTTTCAAACCAGTGGGTTTTGAATGACTCAGATGCTCTGCCAGATGATCTTCAGTTTTAACAATTTTTACTTCCTCCGGGGGTTCATTATCACTATCCACGTTGCTAACACAGTGACTTTTATCTTGTGTCACAGCATCCAGACCTTTCACACTATTCACCGCAGAAGTGTGCTGGCTTTTTAGCTCCACTACATCATCCTCACTATCCGACCCATAAGCTGCCATCAAAGAACCCAACGAATTATTCACTTTCGCAGGTATAGCTTTGGCATCTTTCTGCCACTCATCATCTTCAAAATCACTTATTCTCTCTTCAACCACTTCGGATTCAATAAGTTCCGATGTACCTCTAAAAGGAAACATAGTACCATTCCAGTCAGCATTTTGATCAATAAGGGATATTTTGGGAGGCCGTGGAGGATCACGTCTCCGTTTTTTTCTGATAGTTTGATCGCCACGTTTTTTTAACGGAGGACCCTGACGTTTTGGTGCAGCCGCCACTGGAATACAAAATGAAAAGCGATATAAGCTAGAAAAAACATGCGGATGTCTGTAATATACAGGGTGGCCCACTAAGGCCCGGGAAATACTAATCATGACAAGTTTGGCTCACCCTGTATGCCTTTAAACTACTTATAGTGAATTACGTGCACGAACTTTATAATAGTCCGAGTTCAGGTGTTACTTACATCTGTATTTGTCTCGTCCGAATTTATTATCGTTTTTCTGAATTCGAATGCCCTTTTTCATCAGCTCCTCCTGTCGTTCGTATCGCTTCTCCACGTTTTCTTTACTAGGATAATTCTTTTTTCGCTCTTCTATCCACTTTGCAATATCCTCTGGATTATTCAACTTTTTGATTTTCTCAAAAATCCCTAAATCATCAGATACGTTTATTAGAACAGACAATAAAGATATTCGAAAATATGTTGATTTTGCTACTAATTTGCAGGCAAACAAATAGTTGAATTTTTCCTAAAACTGTGTTGTATTTTTTGTTACTTAGTAAATAGTTACCTGTTGAATGCTGCATTCTAATATGTTTTTCAATAATTTTTTCATGAGCCGTAAATGTGCAACCCTCTAAGTTACAAGTTCTATGTTCAGACATGTGTTTATCAAATTGATATTTACTATAGAAGTCTCTTTCGCATGTATCGCACGCGTATGACCCCTCCTCATCTAGCTCATAATATTCACATTCGTGCAATGCCTCTTCATCATCTTCATCCACATAGGCTTCCCAGTCTACAGGAGAGCCCTTTTAAAAAAATTGAGATTAATTTAAATATAAATTAATATGGGTCTAAAGTAATTCTTAGAGGCATTCATTATTTAACCAGTTCATTCATAAATGTTCAAATGGGGTCCTATTTGAGATAAAAGGCAAATTAATGAATTCCTCTAAAAATCCTCACAAGAAAAATAACAAAAACACAAGGGAAAAGATAATCTTACTGCACTACCTATTGACAAATACAGATTTGATTAATCACCTGACGAAAACTATTGTGAAATAATTTTCTTCGATTCAAGAAAAAACTGCAATAGACAGAAAACAATAGAAGAAAAAACTTCGAAAACCAAATATCAAAATTTACCTACTTGGCTTTCGAAGCGACTAATTGGAAAAGAAAAATGCTTTAAAAATAAAATGTTTGACTTACGGGTAGCAGCGCTAGTAGCTTTTAAGTCTCCTGTGTATCAAGAAAACGTTTAGTTTCTTGATATTCAACAGTTACCGATCCTTAGATGAGATCTCCATCAAAAATTATTTTTCTAATTGGAGTATTGATGAAAGAAACTAAGGTTCTTGAAATTTACACATACGTTTCGGAAGCGCTGGTTATCCTTGATTTTTTCCTGAGTAGATTTAATTGGGAAGCAACCGCCAACAAGTCTTATATTTTAGATCACTAAAATGTTCGTTTTATTCACAAATTCTCAGATTGTGTATTTGAAAAATCACTTTCACTTGAACTGCGTTCTTTCTACGCATTTCGTAAGTTTATAGCTTAAAGCCTCTAACTTGAAACTTGGGCAAACCTTTTTAACTTAACAACTTAATTAAATTTTGCCCAATTGAACATTAAACGCTTTACCTGCTAGTTATATGGGGTTAAAGGGTAAAGCCTGTATTATTGGTTCTTGTTATTAGACTATTAAAGGTCCGTTAGCTCAGCAGCCTGTAGTTGAAACGGCACCTGAACTGAACTAATTTAAACAACATTTTATCTCTACAAATAACAAAGCTCATAAGAGTGCAACTTTAATAACACACCTTGTATACTCATTGGTTTTAAACTAGAGATAAATTCATAAGCATTAAACGCAGATAAATTCGACTCACCATGTTTTTACTCATGTAAATGTCTCAACTGGTAGTGGTGTTTTAAGGAAGAGAACATTTACATTTGTAATTAACGGTAGAACTGAGCGAAGGCGTTTTAACTTATTCGCCATTCGGATTACGGTATAAAACGTAAATTATTGCAGCATTTTACAATTGGTTTGAGGCTCTAATTTCACACATTATAAATTAAGTCATACTCAGGAAAAATAAAATAAAAATTCCCCAAATATTACGCACAAAAATATGCATCAGGGTTGAAAGCTTAATCAAGTAAAAATTCAATAGTTTATTGACTCTTCCATTTTGTTTTATTGAAACATTGCCCTAAAGCTAAAGTTTTATAATCAGAGGTCCTGATGAAGGACGAAATCGTCTGGACATTATCACATGTATATTCAATTTCTGAAGAAGTGTGAACTCTGATGAAAACGATCTGGTTTGTACATTAACTATGACTGACAAATTGTTTCGACAGATTAAAACAAAATATACATTTTGAAACAAAACTCTGTTTGACAACTATATATTACTATTTTACTTTTACTATATTACTATTTTACTTTTATTTAGAATTTTTGGTTTTATCCAAAAATGATGACTCAGCAGCCATGCAAAAAATTATGTTGATTGAACTTCAACTGCAGATTGAGACTCTGTGTCAGGCTTAGATATTTGATCAAAATTTGCAAAAATTTTGGTTTCGCCTTCTTTGGATACCGTTTTCTCCTGTAAAGATACCGAAATGGTTTTAATTGAATTCAATTAATGATATTGAATAATATTAATAATTTAAGAGTTTATTCAACTCATTGAACAGCCATCGAAATACGATCGGATGTTGTTGAGTTAATAACCACTTTTAATGTCTGCTTAACAACTTAAACAATGTTATTAATTGGAATATTTTTAGTGATCTAAGAATGGACAAATTAAGCAACAATTAAAAAATATTTAAGCAATTTTACGATTGGCAACTATTTCCTTAGGAATTCATATACACTTCAGCAAGCTTGATTTAAAATGTTGTTCATTATAAAAAAGCTTATTAAATAAGTAGATTTCTAAAGCAAACAACTAAAACAGCAGCTGGTAGTTGATAAAAATTTCAACATCGTCTGTTGTGTACGTATTATGTATGTTACTCATTGGATTTGAGTTTATATAACCCGAAGAGGCAATTTTGCCAAAGGATACTAAACTAAAATTTAGGCGAATTTAATTTCCAAATGCTTTTTAATTAAATCAACATGAAGCTACGAATGAAGGCTTTCACGGCCGGCTGTGCAAACATTAGCAACAAAAGTTTTAAGCCTTAAGAGCCGTGTTGAAGCTGAAGCCGAAACGTTTACGAACTTTAGAAAACTCCCTCAGGCTCTTAGAGTCATAAAATTATTGTTAGTAATATAGAAATGAAGCTATCCGTCTGGTTTTTGTGTTTCAGTTATTGTTATAATCAAAGCTATTAGAAATATGTTAAATATGAGGATGATTCTAAGTGCTGATGGAAAAATGCATTTAAAGTTGTGCACCAAAATTCATTTCGGTTATTTCTCGAAAGCACATGTTATCAAGGGCGGATCCAGGGGGGGGTCAT